TTTATATAGAGAGTATTATATTTTGAAAGAAACCTCTCTATGCCAAGCACTATAGTAGAGGCTAAATACACAAAGGTTTTTAAGAAAGAGAGGGGAGAGAGGGAGGGAGAGGGAGGAGAAGACAGAGACAGAGGATATGAGGGAGGGGGAGAGAGAGAGAGAGAGAGAGAGAGAGAGAGAGAGAGAGATTCTGCCTTCTGTAGTGCACAGAGATAAAAACACTAACAAAATGGGAGCTAGCTAGGCACCCTAGTAGTTTGGCTCAGTAGATAGAGCATTGGCCCGCAGAATGAAGGGTCCTTGGTTTTATTCTGGTCAAGGGCACATACCTGGGTTGCAAGCTCAATCCTTAGTGGAGGGCATGCGGGAGGCAGCCAATCAATGATTATCTCTCATCATTGATGTTTCTCTTTCTCTCCCTTTCCCTTCCTCTCTAAAATCAATAAAAATGTATTTTTTTAAAAAAAAGGAATGGAAGCTAGGCTCCTCACTGTTGATGTGGGAGTTACAGGTAAGCAAGGCTAAAACTTTCCATGTGGTAAAGAATTAGAATTGAAGTCATCATATGAACTTATGTTTAGTTTAATATAGATAAAGACAGTTATATATAGAAAAAAATTTGCATATGTGTACATATATTATTTCCTCACTCTTTTAGCTGAGAGGGCCAAGGAATAATGCCACCTCAGTAGCAACAAGCACACCTAGAACCCAGATCTTGGTTTCTAATACCATCTATAATAATAAAAGCATAATATGTAAATCGACGGAACACCCAAACAGCAGAATGACCGTCCAGATGACCTTCCAGACGACTACACTATGACATGCACTGGTGCCAGGCCAGCCAAGGCAGGTGCGGTGCAATTTGTTGGGGGGCCCTGCCATCACCCCACAATCGCCCCGCAGAGGGAGGCCCAGGCTACCTCTGCAGGGTGATTGATGGTGAGGCTCCATAATCAATTGCCCCAAAGAGGAAGGCCTAGGCTACCCAGCCAGTGGTGCTGCAGCGGGTGAGCGGGGCCTCCCTCTACAGTGGGATCGATCTGGGGGCCCTGAGATCGATCGCCCCACAGAGGAAGGCTCAGGCCACCAGCCAGCAACACTGTGGCAGGTGTGTGGGGCCAGCCAATGATCACCCGCAGATGGGAGGCCCAGGTCAGCCAAGTGATTGCACCCCCATGCCTGTCCTGAGGGAGTGACCTTGCGTAGTGGCGGAGGTGCGGGGGGCAGGAGAGCAGTGCTGCACAGATGGCAAGCAGGGGCAGCGTCAGGGGCAGGGCCAGCTGCCAACAGCTGGGGGAAGGAAAGCCCTGATAGGCCCTGTTCACCGCCCAGGCCTAGGGACCCTACCTGAGGGGTCCCGGATTGTGAGAGGGCACAGGCTGGGCTGAGGGGCACCCTCCCCTCTCCCTCTGCACAAATTTCATGCAACAGGCCTCTAGTTCTCCAATAAAAGGAACCAGAACTCCTTGGAGAAACGACTGATTCCAAGAGAGGGGCAGGGAACATACAAAACGAGCCAGGAGTATCTTCTAGTTCCAGAAAGTAAATAAGTACACAAAAAAACAACAAACACACACACACACACACACACACACACACACACACATTCACACACACAATGACAAGGGCACATGAAATGGACACAGAAGCCAACTGAAAGAACTCTTAATGTCCAAAGCTGGAACAATCAGAGCAAAAATAAAATAGTATTAAAATATGAACTAAATATTTATATGCACATACTGATAGAATAATTAACTAAATAATTTGAATAAAATAACTGGAGAAGGAAGAGACAAATCTATGCAGAGGAATTTCACATAATTTATGTAGCTATTTTGCCCTCAAGGAGGTAAAGCAAACTCCCCACTTTCACATAGTAACTTCCCTTCAAAGAATACAATGTGGAGCCCTGACCAGTTTGGCTCATTGGATAGAGCATTGGCCCATGGACCAAAGGGTCCTGGGTTCGATTCCAGTCAAGGGCACGTACCTTGATTGTAGGCTCCTCCCCAGCCTGAGCTATGGTCAGGGTGCATGCAGGAGGCAATCAATCAATGTGTTTCTCTGACATTGATGTTTCTGTCTTTCCCTCTCTCTAAAAAATCAATGGAAAAATATCCCCAGGTGAGGATTAAAAATAAAAGAGTACAGTGTGGAAAGTGTAAGGGGGGGTGGGGGGGAGATTACCTTTACAGTGGAGAAACATGGTAAACACTGCCTCAGCCAGGTGATCAAGGTCAACATCAATAGTCATAAGTCATGTTGATCAAATGGTATGCTATGACGAAAATGTCACTTTACCTCTGTGGTTTTCCTCCCAAAACTCCAGTATCTCATGGACTTAAGAAAATTTGTATAGATACTCTTTCTGATGGTTCTATCATTTAATCTGTCTCTTCACGTAAGTCTAGAAAAATGAACAACCCTTTGGGCATCAATTGTATGAGTATACTATGTCTTAATGACCCCTATATACTAAATTTACTACCTAGAATTACCTTGAACATTCATACCTTGTGTGATTATTTTTTAGGGTGTTCCCTACACTTAAAATGTTTGTCTTCCTCACACTTTTTCTAAGTTCAAAATCATGATCATCTTTCATGGTTCACCTCAAATATTTCCTCCTCAGGGAGAATAAGCTGCTCATTTCTCTGAGAGTCATAATAGTGTGTCCCTCCACCATCTCATGGGCATAAAAAATTTTTTTGTAAATGTTGTTTCTAGATGTTTATAAGCAATGTTGTTTATAGACACTTCTATTGTGCTGTAAGCCTCTTAAGAGTAGGGTCAACATCATGGTCCCTCTTGCTCTCACACAGTGTCTGACATTTATTTATTCAACAACAATTTATTGCATGTTTACCATTCAATACCATTGAATGAACAGGAGGGAGGAAAATTACAGAGAAAAATTAACAACTAAATATTAATACTGTGGGGAAAACTTTCCAAGCCTGGAAAGCTCTGGGGGGAAAAAATGAGAAGAAAAATATTGATACAGGTCAGCTTTACTGAAAATATTGACAAAAACCTCCTGTCACAGAACTGATTTATTTTTCCAGCCAGTGCATATGCTTCTAAGTGAAAGGTCTCTGCTCTACCACTTCACCCATTTAATGTGATCTGGGACCCCTGTGGTTTGTGTATAGAAAGCTGGGTGAGTAAATAAATCTAAGCAATGTTCATTTTCAAAAAGAAAACATGAATGAGCAGTAAGAATTTAGTGTAGGAAATGGACAAAAAACTTTTTTCATGGCAGAGGTCTGAAGTTCAACTTACAACTGACATGGGTTCTTAGGAAAGAACTTTGCTTTTGAAACTTTCTATTAAAGCGAAACATGTTGCTATCTCAATGTCTATATACATTCAATTTATTTAGAATACCATTTTTGGTGTGGCTCTCTTGATATACTTGTTTCTTATTTCTCTAGTATAGATTAAATTCCAAACTTCAGAGCATCGGTGCCAAAATGTATTTTTCATTACCCTTGTCAAACAATTTCTGATAGGGCAATTTTAACTCGATAGGTGCTCCATTCGATTCCGAGGTCTTTCTTTCCCAGACCCAGGCCTCCTGGTCTTTCCCACTGAAACTTCAAACGCTCTTTACATGTCATGACCCATCATTCACCCTCAGAATGCAGGAATGATTTCTGATTTTAAAGAAGGATATTGAATGCTCAACCCAACATTTTTTAATTCCCCAAAACAATTAACTTCATGAAAACTAGTTCTTTCATACCAATGTTTCAGAATCACAGAAAGCTGCTTAATATTATTAAGATTCCAGTACATACTTCTAAATTGCCTTGTGGATTTATTGCTCTGTTTCCAATGCCTTCTTCTCTAATCTGTCATTGGCCACCTTCCCTGAACGCTTCCAAACTCTTCCTGAAAAGCCTGTTATGCCTTCATACCTAATGGAGCAAGGATAGGGACTGACTCTGCCATCTTATTAGGGTCCCCATCCACTTTTAATAAATGCTAATCCATTTCCATTTTTAATCGTAGGGCATATTGAATCTATTAACTTTCAACATGTTTCATGTAAAATGTCAGATTAATTCTGAAGCAATAAATACTCCATGAACTGTTAATATGACTACAGATTTTAAGATCCCCGGTAAAGCGTTCCAACATGGCAACAGTTCAGCTGACTTCAAATCCTGGTTCTACCACAAGTTAGGCAGCCTTCAGCGATATTTTTTTTCTGGATCTCTGAGCATCATTCATCTGTCTGGATATTCTCTGAGGAGCATCTCTTGTGTGTCATGTACCAAGGTCACACTGACCTTCAAATAGGCTAAGCTTCATCATTAAAATAGCAAGAATAATGCCCATCTTGTAGGATTGTAAAGATTAAATGGCTCCTCCTATACATGACTTCTCACCACTTCTACTCTATTCCACCACCACTGTCTTCCCCCACTTTCTTGTCCCTAAAGGATGATCTCATTAAGCTTCCTTGCTGAAGCTCCTCAAGATGAAATGACCTTTTAGAATCAGACCAGGCGAGTTCACAGGAAGCCACACTTCTGGCCAGCTACTTTGGAGGCTATCTGCATGGCCCCTGCACAGTCAAGTGAACTGGGGCCCTGATTCATGACACACCATCCAACGTCCAAAAATGGCTGGGTTTCCTCCATCTACTTGCTTATTCCTCCCACATTATCCTTTCAAGGTGCCCAATAAGAAGGAAATGACACAGTATCTCCCTTTTTATTGGAGAGAAGTTAACTCTGCTGTGTTAGTTGCTTGGAGATTCCTCATGCATTGTTCATTAAAACCAGAGAAAGATGGATAAAAGCATCTGCATTTAAATCTGCATTCCATGAAGTGGATCCACTCCCAAATACACAGCTGTTTGGAGTTACTGGTTGTCAGACTGAAAGCTGAAGAATGGATTTCGAAAGGTGTTTGTGTGTTGAAGTATAAAGTGTAACTCCGAGAAGACTCAAATGTTCAATGCTATGTGTATTTATTCCTAGATTCTGTTAGAAGTTGTGTAGCCAAGTTGTTCTTCACCTGCTCCCTGAAGGGCCATTACTGCCTGTACAGTAAATCCAGTTTTATTCTCATCAGCCAAGAACCTCAGCCGTGGATCCAGATCATGTTTCTGTTTCAGCAGGTGTGTATAAGCTAAGTTCATCGTGGCTCCTTGGTATGAGTTTATGATCATTTTTACTGAATTATTATGTGACCAAAGTTGATATGTAGGGAACAGCAATACATATACATTTCATCACTAATTTTTAATAAGGATTTTAAAAAATATTTTAGGATACTTTTCTTATAAAAAGTTCTGGATTACTAATCAGGAGACCAACCCTATTAATATCTATAATAATAAAAGCATAATATGCTAATTAGACCAGACATCCTTCTGGACGACCTTCCGGACAAAGCCAGGGCTGCGAGGGCTGAGCCCCTTGCACAAATTTCGTCATTGGCCTCTAGTTCATTTATAAAAAAAGGAAAATAAAAGGGAAAATACTTTTTTGTGAAACAACAAAAATACCAGCTTATTTGGGGGAAGAGCTTTCCTAATGTAGAGCTAGCCTTTATTTATAGTCTCAATCTCCAGTTAATTTTCATGTTGGCACACCCTTTTAGACATTGTTAAAATACTGGAATGCTATTTTTTCCACAAAATATATCACTATAGGTAAAATTTCATAACAAGAAACTTTCAACTTAATAATTAAAATTTTGATGCAAATGTTTTAGCATTAAAAAAGATTCTTATTTTAGCTAAGTAACAAAATAAACTGATGAACGAAGTGGATCCAGAACATGGAAGCATGGAACAGAGCGAAGAATCGCAGAGGGAAGGTGGGGGAGGGTTGGTGGGTGGGAGGTAATCAACCAAGGACCTTGTACGCTATGCATGGCCCATGGACACAGACAATGGGGTGGTGAGGGCTGAGGCAAGGCGGGGAATGGCTGGAGGGGTCAATGGGGGGAAAAGGGAGACATATGTAATACTCAAAACAAAGAAAAAAAAGAAATGACATGAAGGCAAAAAAAAAAGATTCTTTTATGGAAATATTTATCTCAAATGCATTAAATTTTCATGTAAAATTATAATACAGATTATAAAGTGTTAGTAATACAAGAGACCTTAGACATCATTTTTACTGATAAGAAAATTGAAGGGCAGGGAGAGATCAACCGAAGGACTTGTATACATGTATATAAGCCAAACCAATGGACATGGACAACAGAGGGATGGAAGCATGAGTGTGCTGGGGTGAGGGGGGGGAGGTTGGGGGTTAATGGGGCAGATGAGGACACATTTGTAATACCTTAACTAATAAAAAAAATTTTAAAAAAAAAGAAAAAGAAAATTGAAGGGCAGAATTCAGATTACCTGACTCCTGATCCAGTAGTCTTTTCATTATTGCACATGTGTTAAAAATAAAATGAATGGATGCAGGCAGGTGCAGAAAAGATAGGAGGGAAAAACAGAATTCAAATGCTGTAAGATGCTTAAAAATTAGGCCAAGTGGTAAGATAGTTTATTTACTTCTATTAATAAAATATTTCTATTATACCCCCTGCAAAAGTCACAACCAGGCAGTTATATTTTATAAATAAAAGCAGCTGAATGTATCATAACCATAAAGTGGAACTATAGTAATTAAGAAAAGAGACAGCTTGGATGTGCCTTAAGACTATCTATCACCTATTCTATAAGACTTAATAACTCACAACTCGTGTTTTGTTGTGAATCAAGTTGTATTGGAATACAACAAAAAAAAGCATTGATTTTTGTTCCATTTCTTAAAAGAATGACCTTATTTTACTTTAATTACTTTACTTACAGTTTTCAAATAGTTTTCATCAGTGATTTTGTATTTGGTTTGATCTTTGGCTTTGTTCTTAACAGTTGTCAGTTTCCTGAAAACAAACCAAGAAAACTTGCTTTTATTTTTGCCCCTTTATCTTATTTTATTGACATAGTCTGATTCTTTGTCTTTTTCTTTAAGCAAAATCTCCCCAAAGCATGTTTATACTGCTTTTCTTCTTTGTTCATTTTACTGTAATGGCTCCTTTCTTTTTCCATAGCTTTGATAATGTGTGGTCTGGATAAGCCCTGGCTTCACAACATCAATAAAAGATTTGAATAAAAAACAAATCTTTGAGTTCACGATTACAAACCCAGCCTTGCATCAATTTAACAGATTCATGGAGCTCTTGAACTCACTGATTCCAGTCTAAACGCTCCTCTTTGGATTGATGATTAATTAAGTCAGGCTCTGCTTCTCTTTATTTTTTAAAAATATATTTTTATTGATTTCAGAGAGGAAGGGAGATAGAAGCGTCAATGATGAGAATTATTGATCAGCTGCCTCCTGCACGCCCCCTACTGGGAATTGAGCCTGCACCCTGGGCATGTGCCCTGACCGGGAATCAAACCATGACCTCCTGAGTTCATGACACTCAACCACTGAGCCACGCTGGCCCAGACTCTGCTTCTCTTTAAATGAAAAATCATGTGCTACATAACTTTCTGGTAATAAATAAATTCCCAGATGTGTCCACATTATGGGTGCATAATCAGCTTACCTGGTACTGGCTCTTAGCCTTTTTTAATCTGCAGGCCACTTAGAGTATAAAGTTCTTCACCTTTCCCCACTCAGTCCAAATAGCTTATCTTTATAGTAATGACATATTTCTTGGGAAAAACTTACTAATTTTTATTTACTAAATAGAAATTTCTTATACACAAACTACATAGCTTCATAAGTCAATGCTTGGATATCATTGTCATAGAAAATAAGATTTATACGCCAATATCATAATTTTGTCATACCTCAGCATAAAATATAATACATAAATGGTTTTGTGTGTTTATAAATATTTTATGCTCTCTGTTATGTTCTGTATGTTTTTATAAAATTGTTTCTTTGACTTGAAATGCTCACATTTAAAGTTATAACACTTTACATCACAACATGTAAATAACTATTAAAAACGTAATAGATTAGTAAATATACAAACACAATTTAAATTTTCCTTTGAACTTTTTATTTTCATTAGCTTGAATGAAATATACATAAATGTGATTTTCTTTACATAACAATCTTGTTATCTAACACTTAGAATATCTTAAAGTTCTAAGAATATCCATCCATTATACATTTTAGGATTAAAAATGTTTTTTGTTTCCCACACTTCTATTCACAATGTTCATATTTGGATATGTGCAAAATGAACACTCAATTATTTAATTTCTAGTCTTCATAATCTACTCTGATATTTGTGCTTTAGATTTAATTTTATATATTAATTCTCAGAGCTTTGAAAAATAAATATTTATATTGACCATTTTCCAATTGGGTAACATGCTTGGGAAATTATTGAAGTAAATACTATGTTACAAAGATTAGGCATATTTATAGAGATCAATGTCAGCTGCCTTGAAAATCTTATTCAATACTTTTAATTTTTCTATCTATAATAATAAAAGTGTAATATGCTAATTAGACCAGACATCCTCCCGGAAGACCTTCCGGACGAAGCCGGGGCTGTGAGGGAAGCCTAGGTCCTGGCTGCCAGAGGGAAGCCGGTGCCAGCAGCTGGAGGAAGGAAGGCCTACTCTTGCATGAATTTCGTGCATCGGGCCTCTAGTCTATAATAATAAAAAGCCTAAAATATATCATATGTTCAATCTTCAAGGTAGCTTTGTTCTTCTATTTAAATTTAAACCATGTTAAAGTTCAAATCAAGCCCAAATAGTGCACTGTAGCCAATTAAACAATCTTGGGGAGACAAGAGACAACATGTTTTTCTCACTAATGCCCTTTCAGAGCCTATTTCCGGAGCCCCTGTCCATCCAGAGCCGTTCTGTGCAATTTCTCAGATCTCTGTGGGAGAAGACCCAGGCAGAGGGTGCTCACAGCTTTGAAACAGCCATGCTGGAGTCCACATTTCCACAGCAGAAGGTAAATGCTTCTTTCCCGGGATATGTTATTTTAAACTAAGATTCAATTTTATCTTGAAGCAGTTTGCCTATGTCTCAACAGTTCCATTTTTTCCTTCTTTCCTTGATCTTCTTTTATTATTATTTTAGAAAACACTTATTAAGTAATATAGCACCAAATTTCATGTGGTGCTGCAGTGGCCTCAGGTTAGAGCGGTGTCAGTAGACAGGGTCATTGCCTATTGTGACTTTGTTAAATCAACATTTGTGAAGTGGGGCACAGGGTGCCAGATGGTGACCCCCGTACAACAAAAGACCAGAAGAGAAACTGAAATGGACAAGTTTATTACTCACAGGTCCTGGAGGAAGTACACAGCAGGCCTCGAGGGGCCACTTGGGGAGGTTAAGGGAGGGTGCAGAGAGAGAGAGAGGGAGAGAGAGAGAGAGGTTCTGGGACACATGCCTTTATTTGGGGTCTGTGGAGAGAGTACTTTTGGGTTCCCAGGCTAAGGCCAGCTTGTCCAATTCAAACCAAAAAGAGTGGGGTTTTGGTAAGCCCATGAAAGTTTTACCTAAGGCACACCCAAGGAGAAGGCCCTGGGAAGCAGGGAAAACTTGATCACAGGGCTGTTGGGGAAATCATAGCAGAAACTTTTATTTGCTCGTGACTCTGTAGGCTGTTGTCTAGAACGTGCACTTGCATTAGGCGGCCAGTGTCAGTTTAAGGCCCCTCATGGGCTGATGGATGCCAACGCAGCAATATCCTGGAGTAGCTTAGCTCAACGTTGGCACTGCTGTTTGAGGCTCACAGACTGATATAGTACAACCCACTAAAAGCTACTCATATGACGTGGAATAGAAAACATTTTACAAAAGAAGACCATGGACCCCAGGATTGAAAGGGAAAGAGCACCAGTGAATGGGGCTCCAGGTTTTTCAGTGCCTTTCATTTCTTCCTTCCAAACTTCCTGTCATGCCCTTGTCCTCTGCAATCACCACAAAAAAAAAAAAGAAGAAGAAGAAGTAGATAAGGTGAACAGGAAGAGAAAGCATGGTCAAGGAGAAGGAGCTGTGCTGAGGCAGGCAAGTATGACTTGAGACCCAGAGCATTTTAGGAGTGTGGAAGCAGGGCCATAGCTCTCAGGACACAGTGGCCTGAGACCACCTCAGCAGGCCCCCAAACTTGGAAAAGATCAGAATGTGGAACTACACCCATCCAATCAGTAAAGTGAAACTGACATGGACCTACACTGACATGGTCAGTTTTGTGTGTGAGAGAAGTCACAGGCCCGAATATGCGGAGAATGATTGGAGGAAAGCTGACTGGAGGCAGGAAGACTACTTAGGAAGCTGTTACTGTAATCAGGTAGGAAATGAAGGCATGAATCAAAGCTGGACGTTGTAGGAAGACGATGGATGCAAGACTCTTAAAGAAGCAGAATCAACAGCACTTGGTGCCTGATAAGGAAACTGGAAGAACCAAGGATGATTCCAGGCGCATCGTGGAGGTAAATGGATGATGGCTCCATCCTGAAAAAGAGAGACCACAAAGGAAGCCACTGTGGGAAAAGAAGGTAAAGCATTCTGGCTTACATATTTGAGTTGAAGGTGTTTGTATAGGTAACCACGTGATGATGGTGGTTAAAATGGATCTCAGGAAGACCAGGACTGGAGGTATGGGTTTGGAAAACATAAGGTAGAACTTGACATTATGACAGTGAATTGAATCACTTAGGGAAAATAGAATATGTACAATGAGAATAGAGATTGGTTATTGATCTCTCCTTAGCAAATATTACCATCTTCTCTAAGCCCTTACTATACTCAAAAATCTTGATTATTCTTGCCTTACCTTTAAGAAAACACAGTAATAACCATTGGATGCTTACTAAGCAAACCAGAGGTTATGAGAATACATATATGATCGTGGTCTTGTCTTTGTTTTACTATCGAGAAGGGGAGTAAACATACCAATATTAAATAAATTCAAAGAACAAACAAGTAGCAAATTAATCAAAAACTGTTATATTGTAAAATTAACTCAATACCTCTTAAGTGCTGAAGGATTGTGAAAGGATGACAAATGGGTCTGATTCATCAAAAGTTTATTTAGGGTAAGACACTGAAGACACATTCAACTATTGCATCACTATTTTTGGCTTTGGTTTAAGAATTAGGTATGCAGTATGAAAGAATAAAGGAAATGCCACAATTGCACCAATACAAAGTAGAATGGAATTCTTTGTATATTTCACTCAAATGTTAAACTGGGTATCATGTCTAGAGACAATGCCTCAAATTCTTATAAATTTTTCATTGTGAACTGTATTTTAACTAGAGGTCACCAGTAAATTAGAACTTGGCATGATGCTTCGAGTCCTACGAGATTTTTTAAAACTTGGCAGATCAGTTTTGCGCATGCTCACAAGTATACCTATTCATATTTCTTTTATTTTATACAGATAAATAGTCCTCTAGAGAAAAGTTAACTGCAAATTTTTTAGTTTTATAATTTGGTTTATTCATAAGTAATTGAAAAAGTCTTTAATATCTAGATTGTACATCTTTGGCAGTTATCTCCCTGGGTATTTCTCAATCAAACTGATTTTCTTCTATTTTTTTTTCTTAAGTGTTATGTCCACTAAATTCAAAATTGCTGTGAGAATGGTCCAAAGACTGCTTTATTTATTTTTTCACCATATGTACACTGTAACATACGCTAGTGATTGAAAATGATGAGTGTTTCTGCATCAGCTGCGGTGATGGAGTTGACACTGTAGCTAAGTGGATTTAGAAAGAAGGAGAAAACTCCTGAGAAAATGCCTCCCTCTCCGGAATATGATGCTGGAGGGCTTGTTCTTGCTGTTGCCTTTTAATAAAATTCTGGAATTTCAGAACTGAAAATCAACAATAGATATTTATTAACTTGGAAAGTGCTTGAGTGCAAGGATTGCACCGTTTTTACTGTTATTTTTCCAAGTTCACACAGTGCCTGGTAGGAGCTCAATATATAATGGGAACTAACTGAATAAATAAATTAATCTTGTCATTTTCTGGATGTTAAAATTGGAAGCAAAAGGACCTGGTGAAGGTCACATAGCTAGTCAATAGCACTAGAGTGCAAAAGATTGTCTCTTCCCCATGCAAAGTGTGTGGTGGGTCTGGATGGCTCTCCAGAATCGTAGTCCTCCATATGGTGGCTTAGAATTCCAGGTGCATCTTCTGTTCTGTGTTCATCTTCTGGCAACTCAATATCAACATTTGCATCTACAATCACCACAGTGGAGGAAGAGAGGGAACTCGGAGAATCATAGACTGATTTTTAAAAGTTTCTGCCTGGAATTACACATCCCTTTTCATAGTTCACTGGTGCAGTGAAGGCTTGGGTGTTGGGGTGGGGCAGGAGAAGGGTGGAGGGGGTTAATGGAGAGGGGGGAGAAGGGGACATCTGTAATACTTTCAACAATAAAGATAAATAAATAAAAATTTAAAAAAATAAAATTAGTGTTTTAAGAGTATCTACCAACAGGATTGTAATGATCAAATAATACATACAAATCCCTTAGAACAATTCCTGTGTAACATAATAAATACCAAATGTTAGCTCAAAAAAAACAACAACAGATGAGACCATGATTATTGCTGCGGGAATAAATTAATGTTAAAGGATAAGATTCCAGAAGTAGCCCCAAGAATATAGAGACACTTGGCAGATTCTTTTAAAAAAAAAAGAAAATGAAATATTCTCAAAATAGTATGGGGACAGGTGACTTTCAAGATTGAAAAGATAAAATTAGGACCCTCCCAGACATTATGTACATAAGTCAACTTCAGATAGATTAGAGGCCTAAATGTAATAGATGAAACCTTAGAAGTAGAAGAAAATACTGAAGTTTACCTTTATGACTTCAGGATAAGAAAGGATTTCTTAAGACCTAAGTGAACAGAAATCATGAAGCAAATATGAATAACAGATTTGGCTACACAAAAAGTTTAAATTTCTCTATAACAAAACACACCATAACAAAGGTAAAAGGTACGAACAAGCTATAAGAAGGTATTTGAAATATTTATAACTCACACATTAAAAAAATCTATAAATCAACACAGAAGAGACAAACAACTGAAGAAAAAATTTAATGAAGAACATGAACAGAAAATTCATCGAACAGGAAACTCAAATGACCAAAAATGTAAGATGTTTAGACTCACTAAAAATTATGGAAATAATTGATTTACAATTTTTAAAATGATAAGCCCATTTTACAATGATCAAAAACTGGTGAGAGGGTGGGAGTAAGGGGGAGAGATCAACCAAAGGACTTGTATGCATGCATATAAGCATAACCAATGGACACAGACACCAGGGGGGGTGAGGGCATGGGGGGGGTTGGGGGGATAAGGACACATATGTAATACCTTCCAGTGGTCAGCAAACTGTGGCTCGTGAGCCGCAGTTTGCCAACCACTGCCAATAAAGAAAAAAAAAATGGTGAAAATAAAAATATGTGACAATAAAAGTCTTTGAAAATACATAAAAGAATGAGAATGTTTATACACAATAAATGAGAATAAAACAGGTTTACCTATTTAGGAAAAAAGTATTTAAGAAAAAATATATGTAAAATTAAATCAGACTCAAATATATGTAATAAAATATATAATAATTAAATTAGACAGCTAGCTGACAGTCAACATGGATGAGCTTTCCAGAAGTCTTCCTTTCATTTAAAGCTTATTTTAAAAAATGTTTACGCATACCCTCCAAAGGAGTCCCCTATCTAGTTAATTAACATTCATAACATTATATTGATCTCCCCGCCATGAAGCATTTAAGCTCTCTGTAAACAGAGCTTAAACATTTTATCAGAGATGCTCATTTCTTTCCATAAAGATGTTTTTTTATTATAATGTACAAAAATGTTCTGTCCTAGACAAAGTTTAAGTCAAATTTTCCTTTACAACCATTTTAAAAGAGCAATCTGGTAATAGCTGGTTATATTATAAATTTATTGTACCCTA